GCGGGAAAGGAGGCGGCAGCGCAGGAGAAACACGAGCCGGGGCGTTGCGCCGCTGGACGTTCCCATCCCGGACGTGCCGCCGGGGTCGTCGCCAAAACGAGTCGAAGGCTTTCAAGTCTGCGAGGTGGCTCTGACTGTGGGGTGGGTTGGCGGCTTAAGGAGACGAGAGTGAGCTCTTCGCTGTCACTTAACCGGAGGAGCAGGTTGTTTTAACTGAAGATGGTGATCTTGGGGGTTTTTTTGGGGGGATTTTACGACAGGGGAGGATGGGCTGTCCCAACTTGGGTCAGATTTTCAGCCTGTGCACAGGTGCTTTCATCCCATTTTTTTCCCCTCTTCTTCTGGAGTTGAAACTTGGTTGTGAACTTGGGAAAATGCTTTTTGCTGTTCCTGTTAAAGCCAGAGCTTTAATAGTCTCCTGGAGTCTCCTCTTCTCCAAACAAAAGAGCCCCAGCTCCTTCAGCCTTTCCTCAGAAGGGAGGTGTCCCTCACATCTGCCCAGAGGTGTCCCTCACATCTGCCCCGAGGTGTCCCTCACATCTGCCCCGAGGTGTCCCTCACATCTGCCCCGAGGTGTCGCACTCATCTGCCCCGAGGGTGCATTAAACGATCTATTCCAACCACGCAAACCAAGGTGTTATTTAAGGGAATCCCTTCGATGAACCAAACCCGTCCTGGGCCACCCTGCCATCGAGATCCGCGCCTTAAAGCCGGGCTGAACGCGGGACGGGCGGGGCGAGAGGTGGCCCCTCCTGGCGTCCCCCGTCTCGTTTTTTGGGTGCTCCTGGGTGCGGCGCGGGGGGTTCTCCGTGCTCCTGGTGCCGCAGCGTGCTGACTGCCCTTGCTGTCTGATCGAGCAGGTGTTCTGGCGCTCTGGGCCCTAACCACGCATGTGATGTATGTGCAGGATTACTGGAGGACCTGGTTAAAAGGGCTGAGGTTCTTCCTCTTCATCGGGATCCTCTTCTCAGCTCTCTCGGCGGTGGGATTCTGCGCCTTCCTCGTTCTGGCCATCACCAAGCACCAGTGTGAGTATTGGGGGGTTCACTGGGATTGGGAATTGGTAGGAAACGGTGGGATTCACTTCTTTCTGGGCCAGATAAAGGGAAAAGGAGTTGTCTCATCAACATTCATCAAGCAGGTGGGTGAGGATATCAACCTCCGAACGCGAGTCAGCGGGGCGAAAATCCCCTTCTGCGCTCAGCCGGCCTTGCCCGAGGGAGGCTTCGCCTCATTCCTCCCCATATTTACTTGGCGACAGACCAAAGAGAGGAAATTTGGGGGAGGTTTGTTTTGTTCCGAGGAGTTGGCCTTGTTTGTCGCTTGCCGAGAGTCCCGGCGGTGTCGTGGCGCGGGGCGGTGGGCAAGCTGGGCCGGGGTCACCCCCCCCTCCCCTCCGCCAGCCCTTGGCCCCGACCGAAATCCGCTCCCCGCGGAGATCTGAGCGCTCCCAGGGTATGAAAATACTCGTACGCGGTTGTTGGAAACACGGCTGTGAAAAGAAAATCAAATATTTTCCCTCGCCGCCTCTCTTGGCGCCGTGAGGAAAAAATATTTGAGGGAAAATTGGGGGGTTTTTAAGGGAAATGAGGCTTTTTTAGCCCTAATTTAAGGCGAAAGTAAAGCACCCGCGGGGATTACTTATATATGGACCGTTTAGGACTGGTAGGTTTAACGAGTGGGGTTTTCTGGTTAAGTCTTGTTCTGTGTATTCTTCAAAAAAGGAAAAGGGATTCATTTTTATTGTTTAATGACGACCCAGCGGCGCGTACTTTGAGTTGGAAGAGTGTTGTGCCTTAGGTTAAGTGTGTTTAAAAAGCTGTTGACATCTCTAGAAGAAAAAAAAAACCCAAACCCCTGTAAAATAAGGCTGAAGAGTGCTGACGCGCCCTCGAAAAGCAGAACCGTGCCCATCTGACTTCAGAGTGGTCCCCACCATGGGTAAAAGCGTTTTTAGAAGGAAGGGTGATGTTTTATTTCCTCTGCAGGTTCATCTCCCCTCGCCGGGGCGGGGGAGAAAGGGAGCAGCGCTGAGAAATGAAGAAGGGAGAGGTCGTTTGCTCGAGCCGGGTGGGAATTCCCTCAAAATCCGGGCGCTGAGCGAGTCTCCTTTTCTCTCCTAGCCCTGACTGACCCCAGGAGCTACTACCTGTCGTGCGTCTGGAGCTTCATGTCCCTGAAATGGGCTTTCCTGCTCAGCCTGTACGCGTACCGGTACCGGAACGAGTTTGCAGACATCAGCATCCTCAGTGACTTCTAACACTCGGACTTCGACCCCGTCGGGACGCGCCAGCTCTTTGACTCGACCCGCGCGCGAGACGTTCGAGAGGCGCCGAAGGAACCCACCCGGTGCTGCTGGGTTTGTCTGTCTGCGCGAAGGGTTTGGTTGTCGTTTGGGGTTTTTAGTTTGGTTTTTTTGGGTTTTTTTCCCCTCCCCTAATGGCGTTCGCTCAACCGGTTAAAGTTTGGCCAACGATGTCGATCAAGTCCGTACCTTCCCGGGGAGTCCCGGCAAAAGGCTCGATCTGCTTTTCGGGTCGCCCTGATGGAGCTTTCGAGCGGGGACAAATGTGGAGCTGGAGGTTCACACCTCGTGGATGCAGCCCCCGCCGGCGTCTCCGGGGGCTCGTGGGGACGCCGGCTCCTTT